CACCTTAAAAAGCGAGTCCACCTTAATAAAGGGCCGCCTTGCGCCCCCCGACCGTGGGTCCGGAGCGGGGTCGGGGTTCGCCCCCGAGGTCCCGCCGCCCGCCCGGGCCCAGACAAAGCTCCGCGGAGCGCGGACGGCGAGCAGCAGCAGCGGCGGCGGCGCAAGCGCGGTGCGCGGCAGCGGGGGAGGCGGTCGCGGAGCGGCGGCGGCGGCGGCACCTGAGGCGGAGGGGGCCGAGCCCGGCGCATTTAAAGGCGCCGCCCGCCGGTGGCCCTGAGTCAGCGGCACGGCACGGTCCCCTGCGCCCCTCCGGTCGGGGACGGGGGGGTCCTGTCACCCTCTGCCCAGTGCGGGCCTTTGAAAAACGTTCCCAACAAATAAAGAAATGAGTCCGTTCGGGTGAATTGTTACAAATTCACCACAGGATGAGAGGGCCCAGGCGGGACCCCAGGGACTGGGGATAGGGCTGGTGGGCCCCATCCCACCTTCCACAGCACCCCTTCTTCGCCCAGCTCCTCCGCAGGCCCCAGCCTTCTCCACAGCCCGCTGTGGGGGGGACCAGGGCCCCCTCACCCCTCTGACGGGAGGGCAGCAGGCCCACAGCTCGCCCTGAGGAGGCTTTCCTCTGAGAAACCTCTCCACACCCCGCTGTGGAGCTCAGCGCGCCATCATTGTGAGGAGAAAGCTTGCCCAGCCCCAGCCCAAAACTCGGCTCTCCATCCCCTGCCCCTGGCTGTGCGGTTACCCACCAGCTTTGCCCTGGGGGTGCAGGCCCGTGGGTCGTTCCCTCCATGGCGGGAGCCTCTCACACCTCTGACCCGCTCCAGGCTGCCCACACCAGCTCCCGCTGGCCGTGGTGGCATCGGGACGGCTGGCGCACTCGCTCCCTTCCGTCTGCAGCCTTATCAAATTGTCCAAAGCGGAACATCATATTCCAGCTGCAGGGGAGATAACGCTCCCCGCGGGCAGCACCCCGGCTTGTACGGACCGGCCTGAAGTTTGCTTTTTACAGGGTTGCGCAGTATCGACCCGTGTGTCACACCACATTGGCACAGCTGTGCCAAACACCCACTGCTCTTACACCAGCACCTTCACAGAGACGCAAGGCGCTCAGTATCATGACACTGACCATCCACAATTATCGCTGTTTTCAGCAAAAATGAGGAACAAGCAGCACCTCACAGCGTCAGACCTTGTTTTCTATACAAAAGCACTGGCTGAGTGATAGGGCGTCTGGCCTGTGGTCTGCTGCCCTTGGATGGTACATAGCTCATGGTCAGGTACCGTCCTGCGCTTAAAATTTTGTTGAAAAAATGACAGCATATACCAAATGCTGATATAAAAGTCGCAGTGCCTGACCGGTGGTAATTTGCATCTTAAATTCCAGCAGTTATTTAGTGGTTGGTGGGAACTGTAGAAGCGATAAGGGTATTCTTCAATAAGAATTTGAAAACAGCATCTGTTGAAGTAGCCTTGAATTCAAAAGGAGACTGGAGTGCCTTTGCGATTTCAGCAGAAATTAATTAAAATTTTACTTTCTTAAAAAATACAATTGATTTGCTTCTTGTTTTTATTCTCACTTCTAGGCCTGTGCCATCCACAAGATTTACAATATCAGGCTTTTGTCAATGATCACACAGGGGTTAATTCAACAATTAACACAGAAACCAGTAAAAATGGCAAACATCATCAAACTTGCAAAAAAATAAAATCAAGCTACTTGGCAAATGACAGCCACGGGAATTTATTTTACCAGCTGTTAAAAGCCGCTGTCTGTAACGCAGAGCATAACAGTTGCAAAAGTTTAAGGCAGGAAGTGAAGAAAATGTTTTGAAACTTCTTAGATGACTTCTAGGCCGGCAAAATCTTGTATCCCCCTTGGCTGGAAAAGAGCCAGGGCACCACGGTTAGTGAGTGTGCTCTTGGGAGAGCTGTGGTAAAATCTCTAGTGGCCGCAGGTGTTTCTGCCCTGACTTTCCTCGCACAGCGGAGACACGCAGTCCTAGCGCGGGGCGAAGGAGGAAGTTGATACGAGTGCTGTTCAATTAGAGGCCAAAACATCACTGTGATGAATGTTCTTTGTTCTGTACTGTGTGTACTTGTTTGTTCCTTCACGTGCTGTTGGTTGGGGTAAAAAAAAAAAAAAAAAAAGATGTTTAACTTAAATAGTTTTTGATTAAAGGCAGGTCCTAAGGTAGCTTTCTGCAAGCAGAGCCAGGTGGCAAAGTCAGCCTCCTCTGTTGACGTTTTACTTTTATTCTGAGAAAACTGGGTTTGTTTTTAAGCCGACTCACTGGGTAGCTTTCTAGTGAATAAGTGGAACTTCAAAGTGGCGTAAGAATGGTGAAGGTGCTCGGAGGTCTCTTCAGGGATCAGGGCCAAGTTGTACTGGATGCTGTGCGCACACACGAGGCACGGCACTTTCTTTGAACTGACAGTTTAACGTTTGTAGCAGTTAAATGTCTCTCAAAAGTCTCTTCCGAAAATAGGCTGTTGAAAAGATTTCAAACTTCTACAGAGATTTAAAAATTTGACCAAGGACAACTAATAAATGTAATGCCACTTGACAGCAAATACAGTTTTGAGATATTTGGAGTGCACTCTGCAGACACATGGTATTAGCAAAACGTTTGTTTCTTTTGGAACAAAGGCAGCTGAAAAGCTTTTTAATCAAAAGTAGGGCTCCTCAATTTATTTTTTTTTTTTCTCCTGTGGTTTGCTGATTAAGTACTTATGCTCTATCAATTCTTCCCTGATGTCCAGAATTCAGTGAGAGTATGTTTAGGCCGACATCCAGCACATGCAAATTCTGCTCTCCTCCCCCAGTTTCCCATTTGCTAATGATGAAAGTACTACCACCAGCACGTATTCAACTGCTGCCTCGGATGGAGGCATTAATCTTTGAGGGGACAGTTCAACTGACTAATGCAAAACATGAGCGGAGGAGGATCTACTGCTGTGATTTACGATGGGTGGAGAAAAACACAAGCATCCACCCAACTGTGGGAAACCTTTGAAAATTTTCTTTAAATTCTTTTTTTAATTTAATGCAACTTTATTCTTTTTTTCTAGTTCACATGTGAAGGAAAGCAACAGATAACTGCTATCCTGATGACTCACATGATACTCTTTTCCAATACCATGTTTTAATCAGTAGTCATAAATATGACTGTTTCTACCTACCAGAATCCCAGAATGCCATCCTTACCTCTGGGATGCCAAGGTATGACATAATTATCATCACCATAATCTCTGACATCACCTGTATGCAGAAGTATGAGGGAATTATGCAAGAACAAGCAAACAGAATAAAGATTTAGAATAAAGACAGAATAGAGATTTCCATCTAAGGCTAAACTGTTCTCATCATAGTCCAACCTATGGAATAAATTATGTGTGTACCTTACCAGTATCTCAACCTGTGACTGAAGCTCGTGTAGGTACAACTGCACTAGTTTTAAGCAAGCTAACTCTTTTATCAATAACCGGGAGCAACACAGACTTCATCTTGGACTGCAAAGCCTAATTTGGAAGCTGGGTGGATGCTCCGAGGGCTACTTGCTGCTGTGTGCACTTTGCTGTAGGGACCAGAGCTTCGTGAACATGAGGCTACAGTCCCGTCCTGACATACCCAGGGAGCAAGATATATCTATTTGACTATGTCTTCTAGGACAAGTGACATTTTACTTTTGCCCCTATATAGGAAAGGCCTGCGTTCCCATATCCCAAAGAACCTGGGCCAGATGTGTGACCCGTTTCTTATTGCTGTTTTAGACAGTTTTGGCTACCACGAGCATCCTCTGTGGGCCAGACAGCTGTCTTTCCCAAGATCCTAATGTTTTTTCTTTTCTAGTTCAGCAGCTCCATCCCAGTGTTTCCCGCGCTGTCCCATGAGACACCAGAAGCCTCACAGCGGCCACCCACGGAGTTGAAGCACCGTATCTGGAAGGCATGGGGGAAATCCTTGGCCAGATACGATCGCAAAGAACAAGTTCTTTCCCTCACCGTGTGTCTCTATTTTGAAATCAAAGTTCTGCTCGTCAGAGAGGGAATCTCCAAGGCACTGCGGTGCAATCGTTTTATTGCAGCGGTTGCTTCACAGACAGAGGCACTAAGGGCCAGGAAAACAAATCCGTGTTTCTGGAGGAAGGGAAACACCAAACTATGAGGCTTGGGCACACGAGCAAGATGTGACTGAACAAGTTACTGCACACGGACTGAGCCTGTTAATTGGCCACACATCGCCTCTTTGCGTGAAATGAAAGCTTAAGCCTGCAGAGGAGCTGCAGCACAGTTGTAGGTAGTGCTGCTGCTGGCTAATTTATTTTCTTCACAGAAATGGATGCTTGATACTTATTTTGGGTACTTTATAGCCAAAAAAGAGGGACGGAGCAGCACAAGAGGAAAGATCAAGTATGGCTCAGTTTCAGAGTGCATTTGGATGAAAAGCAGACATTGTATTCGTGCGGTTTCAAAATCTTATTCAAATTCAGACGTGTTAAGACAGTTACACATCCGCTTTCCACACGCATCCTAAGAGCTGAGAGTAATTGCCAGTATCTGGGCAGAGCCCACACTAACCTGAATGCTGGAATTTTTGCCAGATCCATCAGGAAGGAGCAAAGGAACTGAATATGCAGTGCTTGGCTGAAAATCAGTTTGGTGATAGAAATATGTGGAAGGTCTACAAATATCTGTAAATGGTAAAAGTAAATATTAGCCTAGCATTAATGAATAGAAGGCAAGCTGCAGGCTGAATTTAATGGCAAATTAAAATTACATCTTTTAATCATATCTATTTCAGATGCTTGTTAGTCGGCTAGATTCTGGCTCAGTTACAGTAAGACACAGATTACAGTGGAATTGCACCAAAGTCCCACCAGGATAAGTGAGTTTTGAACACAGCCCTGTTGTGTTGCATTCCTGGGGAGGCTGAATGAGTGGATTAATTTGGAGCCCTGAAAACATCTGTAAATTTACAGCAGCAGTGTAAGATATGTCAAGAGTATTTGTTCGTACCTCGCTGGAGAGCTGCAGAAACAGCACTCCAACTCCAGTAAAATGCTTTTATCTTAGGAAGGGAGTGATCCTCCACTCGTGGCATCAGCTCTGGATGAGTGAAACTGGAGACACTGGGCGAAGTGACAGAGTTTACAGTCTGGTCCCTGCCTTCCACAGCCAACTGCTCCCTCCCATTCATGCACAGCTGAATTGAAGACATTTAAGTGACATCTAAGCATGGGATAACACAGCTGGAAAGGCTGGATGTTTGAACCCTCAGAGCATTGAGGTTATTCAGCTCCCTGTTGCTGGAGCAGTATGGCACCCAGCCTCCTGCACAGGAGAGGAAGAATCACTTTTCATGCACTTCCATAGCCCTATCGTATTACAGTCTGGATTTATTTATGCTCTGAGCCCCTTTATTGATTAATACTGTTGAGAGATTTAACTAGCCACTCAATTATCCTGGCAGCCAAGGTCTGAGATGTTTTATTACCCCTCTCCCCACACATATACACTGAACAGATTTTATGAATTATTGAAGGTGCCATTTTAACGTACTCAGCAAGGTGCTCTGGCAAGGGGCTTCCTAGGTTCCCCTTTGCGTTTTAATATCAGATGCATTTCAGCTGCTGGCAGAGGGCTCTGGGCACTAGAGGCTGTACTCGGTGTTCAAATCTGTTAGCACTCACATCAAGGACCATTACCTAACCTGCCTGTCAAGCGGCTGATTATATTAAAATGAGGTTTGCCAATAAATAAGAGACAGTCTGCAAATCTCCACCCAGAACAATCTGTTTTCAGACTAATTGGAAGCTATTTCTTGCCAGAACACTGCTTGTCCATATATCAGCAGGTATCACCACACAGTTCCTTATAAGACATCG